GCTCTGTATAAATAAACTGCACGGTGATGGCTTGATCTTTGCACACCATTAATCGAGTTATAAAGGTCTGAGTCCCCTCCTAAAAGACCGGCTTTATAATTAAAGTCCAGCTAAAAGGTTTCAGTCATTGTTAGATCATAGAGGGGATGGTCTAGAGCAGGGGCGCCCACTATTTTTCGTCTGGAGATCTACTTTTCAAATGACGAGCTCATTGAGATCTACCAACGAAAAAACACCTGCATTCAGGGGCGGGAGGGGGCGTGGGCTGCGCAGGCAGGCCCCTCGCCCACAGTGCGATCGCCTGCATTAGTGCCTGTGTTCCAGTCCAGTGCGAGCCGCAAAAATGCTGCAAGCACTATTTTTGCAGATCGCACTGGACCGGAATGCAGGCACTAAGGTGCCTGCGTTCCGAGTGCGGGCGATCGCACTGTTGGCGATGCCATTGACGTCAATACAGCTCCACACCCCCTCCCGCACCGGAACGCGGAGAGTCGGCCTGCTTACATTCCAGTGCATTACAGGTCCCGGCATCCTGTCCTCCCATGGTGCTTGTGTGGCCGACGTTGCACATGGGGTGTCCTGCACCTTTCCATCTGCAGCGTCTGACACATTCAGCCGGCAGCCGCACGAGCACCACGGGAACATAGCCGTAGCCAGCTCCTTTTGTGCCTGAGGCAAGGAAAAAAAACAACGTTTTTTTAATTTTATTTTTTATTTTTTCATTTTATTTTTATTTTAAATTTTCATAATTTGTTTTTTTTAAAACTCTTGGGGGGCTTCGGAGAAATATTAGGAGTCTCTAAAAAGCCCCCTGATATTTCCCTTTTTAAAATAGAAAAAGAAATTGAGGACACAAAGTCCTCAATCTCTTTTTCTGCAGCCTCTGTTCTAAATGAATGGAAAGCACAGAGGCTTCCCATTCATTAAGAAAATATTTTACTATCAAGCTGTTTCTGAATGGGGAGGAGCCTCTGTACAGAGTGCTTCTCCCCATTGAGAAACTTATGAATGAACAGGAGGTGATATAAATGAATGAACAGGAGGTGATTTACAACTGGGGACACATAGTACTATGTGTCCCCAGTTATTTACAAACACTGGAGTGATCAGCCGATTGCACCAGTGTTTGTCCTACACAGAGGATTGATACATACTACTGACATGTACCGATCCTCTGCCGCTCGGCCACGCACAGGGGGGCTGCAACTTCTCTGGATCCCCCTGCTCTCCCGGGCAGACGCAGCGGTGGGATACCACGAGCCGCGGGGGGGCGGAGCCGCTGTGACAGAACGGACGAGCAGTGAGGGGAGAGAGAGGCGCCGGCTGTCAGATCCTGGCCGAGCGTCTCTCTCTCTCTCTCCTCACTGCTCTGCATTAGTTAGTGACAGCGGCTCTGTCCTCCGCCCTCCCCCGCCGCCGGTTCCTTCACTTCTTCTCGGATCCCCGCTGGGGAGAGCAGCGGGGATCCAGAGAAGCGGCGGGAGGAGAGGACATGGCGATCTACCAGTGATCGCTACGCGATCGACCTTGTGGGCACCCCTGGGTTAGAGTCTCGGAGGGTTTTTGTTGTTGCCCCTGTGGGGTACATTCCTATGACCTCCAATCAGGGCAGGAAGTGAAGGGGAATCTCTCCAGCAGTGACATAGACGAAATGCATTTTAGGAGACTGGGGAATATTTTGATTGCTCTCATTGCCTTCCAGTCCTGGTGAAACCCACTCCCCAATATCTTGTACAGGTGTCAGACAGACAAGACCTGCAGGAAAATTTCCCCACTGGGGTCCCATCTAGGAATACACTGCAGACATTTTAAACCCCCCCTCCCCATCCCAAACTAATAAAGCATTGGCTGGGGTGACACTTTAAAATCACCATTGCTTAGTAAGTGAACTTTCTAATGCAGCTTTATAATTAAATTGATTTTTAAAATACAAGCAGTGTAAGCACTCGACCTATATCCTGATATTGGCCTCTTACAGTCCACATACAGCATGGCTGTGGAGTGTGAGAGGAAGGAACAGTACAAGAAAACAGTCTGTGCATGTGCTGATAGGAGGAGAAAGCAGGAAGATGAGCTGTGTTGATTCTCCTTTCACTGACCAGTAACAGGCTGGCCTGGGTCCAGGATGTCCTGGTCTCAGAGCAATTTTAGTAATGAGTGGGGAGGAGATTACTATGCTCCTCGGTGCCCTCTAGTGGCGACAATGCTTTGCGAACAGCTAGCTGGCTATTTATAAATCATCCCATGATTGTTGTCTGTGTGAACAGCTGGGGCTACTAATTGAGTCTTAGTAAATGAATTAGAAAAGAACAGCTTTCTGGTGTAATTGCCTTTCTATTAAATTGTTTTTCTCTAAGGGCGTGTTCACACCAAGTGAGGAGCAGATGCAGAGCAGTTACAGAACGCATAAAAAATGCATCCAATGTATTCCAGTGGTATTTTGGGCCCTAGTTCACACCACAGCGTTCAGTTCCACACCATGTGGGAAAACTGCAATATGCCCTATTTTTCTGCACCAAAATGCAAGCAAACGCATCAAAAAAGCATGCAAACGCCCTGGAATGCACTGAAAGCCCATTTTAGACTATAAGAAAAAAAAAAGCCCTAAATAAAAATAGGGTGAATATTTACAAACGCTGCTAAAATATGGGGATGCCTTTGCTGCCAACCTCCTTCTGCCTTGTGTCCTTTTGTCATGTTGATCCCCTGACTTCAATGCTTTCTTGCTTTTTCTATGTTACTAACCCTGAGCACCTGTATATTTTTGGGTGACTTAGTGACTATTGCAGCCAGTGATCAGCTTGACATTCAGACAACTAGCATTTTTAGAAGGGGAAGTCAGCAATGCCGTCCTATGTGTTTCATATTCTGTAGTAAAAATTATATTTTGCTTATATTTTTTTTTAGGGACCTCCAAGATCATCCAGTCTCCAAGCGCCTATTATGCTGTTGTCCGGACACGAGGGGGAAGTTTACTGCTGCAAATTTCATCCCAATGGGCTTACATTGGCTTCTGCAGGATTTGACCGACTAATCCGTAAGCAACAATAGTGACGTTCTTATTTTCTAAAGCATAAAACTTTATTTGCTACCATAATTTCAGAAAGTATTATAATGACAGTAGCAGAATAACGTCAAAGAGGAATTCAACCCAATTATTTTGAGAAATGTCATATTGTAGAAAGAGCAAGATATAGTAGTAAACGGAGCCGAGCTAGCCCTTGCAAATTTTTGTGTCAAGTGACGCTTCTCAGCTGCAGTCTGCTGAAGCCTGGAAATCTGAAGGGAGGATTGGAATTAACTATATTTGGGGATGTTGAAATGACAGTTGTCTCTAGGAACCACTGCAACATTTTCGTGGTAATTGTTTGAGCCAACCAAGAAACAAATGGCTAAAAATGTACTTTCTTGCAGTTCTGTGGAACGTGTATGGGGAATGTGATAACTACGCAACCCTAAAGGGTCATAGTGGAGCTGTGATGGAATTGCATTACAATACAGATGGCAGGTAAGGCAGCAATACTTGTACAACTCTCAATGCCCTGCCAGGGAATATCCATGGCAGTGACTGGAGCGAATGTGTTTTATGTCTTTTCAGTTGCTGTATCATTTGTCCTAGAAACCCATTCTAGCCTTGTCATGGACTCTATTTTATTTATATGCCAGATTGTGTTTTCTTTGGGTATGATTTGAAGTTTTAGAAAACCAGCTCCAACATAATTGGAGTTGTCGCTTAAACCGAGCTGCTGAACCTTCACTGGGTGTACAGAAGCTGTAGGTAAACGATATACTGCTACAGGAACAGGAAATTATTTGCTGGCTTGTATAATCCATATCACAGCAAAGGGAAATTGTGCTTCATATTGAGTTTACAGTTAACACATGAAAAGTAGATGGTAGAAAGTAGGTATTGGAGCTTAGGTAGGAGACATGGGTCACCACCAAGCATGGTAGCCCTTCTATTGCTGGGGACTTGCATTAAAGTGTATTTTTGTGACACTGTCATTTTAACCCCTTTGCAGCAGATGCAAAAAAAAACGGGGAGCTTGTAAGTGCTGGCTTGGGACTGAAGAAGTAGAAGTGATTGTGGCAGCTGTAGAGCTGCCAGATTCCTTTAAAAAGCAGTGTAAGTGCAGGCTCACCACCCCCTTCCCTACACCAGTTCCTGGCTTTCCCCACCTCTTCTTGAGAGATCAAAACCACAAAGAAAATACTTCAGCATGGAAAGCAGAGATTGCAGAGGAGAGATTTGACACTCAATAATTCCTCCATAGTGTAAACACAGAAGTTCTCTGTTCTTGGCACTTCCAAGTTCACGGTGTGCAGATTGCCAGCGGCTGTAGCCAGAAAAGCAACAGATCAAGTACTTTCTGTACTCAGTCTGATCAGGCACAGTGTAAGGGAGATAATAAGGGGTCTAATAGACCCTGGATATCTCCCTGGAGAGAATCTTTCACCTAGACTGTGCAAACACACATGCTTAAAAATACACACACCTAGGATGCAAATACATATGTAAGCACCCATTGTGCAGCACATATTCGGTATCACTGTGAACGCTAGAGTAACAGGAATAATTCTAGAACCATCACTTATGGTTCACTTTAAATGGTGATTTATAAAGCTTAACGTTTGTGTTCTTAATATAGCCACAGTATGTAATATACAAAAAATAATGTTTATAACAATGTCCTTTTTTAATTGATTTGATAAATAATAATACAAAATCATAAATACATTTACATGTCAGTGTCTACCTGTTGAGGACCTGCACCTCTGTAAACGATCCGCTCCACTCACTCTGTGATCCTACACCTTGTGATCACACGAAAGAACTCCCCCAAAAAGCCATAACCTTTTTATTTATTTTTCATGAAAAGGTCTACAATGCTTTGCAGCCCTCCATGATCCTATGTCTTCTGTGTCACGCTACACAATGCAATACAAAAAAAGGATCCAATAGCATAATACTGCTTTACATTTTGTATTAAAGCCAAATTCATTAATACTTCTTTCTTAAAAGTGCTAAAACCCGCAGCAGATTGAAATCGCTTAATCACTTTTACTCCTGCAGACACATGCAGTATTGTCCACACATCTCCTCTGCTACCGTATTGTCTACTAGATGCTTGCCTAGCTCAGCCTTTACGATGTATTTTGTCATAGAAAGACTTTATCAAGGGACGGTCCTAAGCAATGCATGTTGTAACTAAATAATCTCATTATTAAAGAGTAATTCGCCTTTTGTTGAG